ATGGTGACACATCGGTCCGTGTGCCGCTCGTGATCGTTCGCGGTGGCGGTCCGTGCCTGTTCGGGCGTGATTGGCTCGCTCGCATTCGGCTGGACTGGTCGTCAGTGTGCGTCATGACGGCCAGCTCGCGGGTGGACGCGGTGCTGGCTGAGTTCCCAGACGTGTTCGACGGGGAGCTGGGATGCTTCAGAGGTGAGCCGGTCACGGTGGATGTCGATCCAGACGTCCAACCCCGGTTTTTCAAACCGCGCGTCGTCCCGTTGGCGTATCGGGATCAAGTGGAGCAGGAGCTGGATCGGCAAGTGAAACAAGGACTCTGGGAACCCGTCGCACATAGTAAGTGGGCTGCACCGCTCGTGGTGGTGCCTAAGGCTGGGGGAAAGGGTGTGAGGTTGTGTGGCGACTACCGCTTGACTGTGAATAAGGCGGCTAGGGCAGATCAATACCCCCTCCCTCGCGTCGAGGATTTAATGTCGCGACTGACCGGGGGGACAGTGTTCTCGAAATGTGACCTTAAGTCAGCGTACAATCAGCTGGTGTTGGAGAAAGAGTCGCGTCAGTATCTCTGTCTGAACACGCCCCGCGGCTTGCTGCGGCCGACCAGGCTCAGTTTTGGGTACTCGGCAGCGCCGAGTTTGTTCCAGCGGACGATAGAGACGCTGTTGGCTGGCATCGAGGGCGTGGGAGTCTTTTTAGATGATGTGATCATCACCGGCCGTGACATGGAGGCGCATAACCGTGCCCTCCGGGAGGTTCTGCGGCGTGACACCGGCGCTGTAGACTCCGAACAGAGCATACACATCCTCCTCCACTCTCTCCGGGCTCCTCGGCTCCGCCGCAGCTGCACCGGAAGCTGTGGAATGCTTTGCCGACTCCACTTGAACCGCCCGGACCGCCGGCGTGCGCCGTCGGCAGGCCACTCGCAAGTGACCCACCTCCCCGCAAGAAAAACAGCGCCGGAAGCGAAACGGACACACGGCCGGCTCGTGTCCTCTCTGCCGGCAGCGGTGACACTGAGCTCGAGCGCCACCCGTCGCCGCCACTCGGGACGGACTCTGCCGCGGTCGGCGCTCCTCCACCCGATGGACGGGCTGCAGATCCGCTCGCTCTGATGACACGGGACTGCTGCGATTCAGCTCACTGGCGTTGGCAGCCGCCGATTCGAACGCCTGAGCGATCGCGAGCGCAGAGCTGAGAGTGAGATCCTCCGTGCTGAGCAGTCTGGACTGAAGTCTGGGATTCCGGATTCCACAGACCAGCCGATCTCGGAGCATTTCGTCGAGCACCTCCGCGCTGAACTGACATGGCCGCGCCAGTCGCCTCAGAGTCGCAGCATAAGCTGAGACTGACGCACCGTCCTCGCGATCACACGTATGAAACCGGTAACGTGCCAAGATCCGAGACGGCGACGGCTCAAAATGCTCCGACAGCACCTTTACCAGGTCTCCATACTTCACGTCTGTCACTGAGGCCGGAGCGATCAAATCCTCCAACAGCGCAAACGTCACCGGCCCGATAGCACTCAGGAAAATCGCGCGGCGTTTCACGTGTTGTGACGCGTCAACATCGTTCGCCACAAAATACTGTTCCAGCCTCCGAGTATAACCACCGAAACACTCAACACCCGCGTCGAACTCGGGCGCCCGGGCCAGCGCCATACCACACGTGAGTTCGGTCCTCGTCGCCACTGAAGTACACAGACGCTCGGTCGGTTCCAGACTGTTTATTGCCGACACACAGGCCGTCCTCGGCCCGAGCGCTGACGCCACCGCAGCCCCAGGCTATCCATGACACCGGGAAGACGCGCGGCCCCGGCTTGGGTCAGCGCAGGCTGCCCCGACCCGGCTACCCGGGCCCTGGCTTTGGGCGCGGTCTACCGCAGAAGCCATTTTATATATGATGGTCAAATACGCCAATGAAAGTCATATGGACTGGGACTTCCACATTCCCCTTTCAATGACTGGGTATACAGATGCAGAGTGCTTTTTCCACTCGGTTGCTCACTGTTCTTCCCGTACCTCATGTTTGATAGAAACCTTAGATCGCCAGCGTCTGACGAGCTCCCGACGTCCTCTGCACCGAACAACAGCCATCATTGCTGACTAGGTGTTTGCGAAGAGCACCGAGTATTATGAATTTCAAGTTTAATAGGTTTAATAGTTTAGGAGTTTCGTTCGTTATCGGAATAAGCCAGACAAATCACTCCACCAAGAACGCCCATGCATCACCACCCACTGAATCAAGAGAGAGCTATCAGTCTGTCAAGCCTTACGGTGTCCGGGCCTGGTGAGTTGTCCCGTGTTGAGTCAAATTAAGCCGCAAGCTCCACTCCTGGTGGTGCCCTTCCGTCAATTCCTTTAGTTAGACATTGTTGCTCGGGTTTGATGGTCGCCCGAGTGGTGTCCGGGACCGCCGCCAGGTGTTGTTGGCCCAGGGGCGGAGGGTCTCGAGTGGTGTCTGGGTGTTCTAATTAGAAGACCGTTACCTTTTTGCCTTCATCTAGTTCCATGTTTGTTATGCCCCGCCTTCCTTTCCGGTAAAACTTTCCTTTGTATTTGGTAACTTCCTGAATCCTTCGCATATTTTCTGTGACGTCGTGCTGCCATGTGTAACCGCGCCGATTTCGTTTTGTTTTGCATTATTTTCCGCCTGTTGCTGACCCGCCGCCGACCTGTGAAGACCTCTCAGTTGTCTTGCGCTACCGCCTTGCTATATCGCCGATTCGCCTGAGTGATTTAAATATAAGTGTGTAAAGTTTTCTTTCTTTTCAAGTTTTCTGAACCGGCCTTTTTAGTTCAACTTTTATAACATGGTCCTCCGGGCCGGATGAAGATTTGATTTTGCTGTAACTTTGCTTGTTTGCTGATTTGTGATCCACCGCCGCCAGGTGTTGTTGGCCCAGGGGCGGAGGGTCCCGCGTGGTGTCCGGGACCGCCGCCAGGTGTTGTTGGCTCAGGGCCGGAGGGTCCCGCGTGGTGTCCGGGACCGCCGCCAGGTGTTGTTGGCCCAGGGTCGGAGGGTCCCGCGTGGTGTCCGGGACCGCCGCCAGGTGTTGTTGGCCCAGGGGCGGAGGGTCCCGCGTGGTGTCCGGGACCGCCGCCAGGTGCCGCTGGCCCAGGGGCGGAGGCCGGAGGGTCCCGCGTGGTGTCCGGGACCGCCGCCAGGTGTTGTTGGCCCAGGGGCGGAGGGTCCCGAGTGGTGTCCGGGACCGCCGCCAGGTGTTGTTGGCCCAGGGGAGGAGGGTCCCGAGTGGTGTCCGGGACCGCCGCCAGGTGTTGTTTGCCCAGGGGCGGAGGGTCCCGAGTGGTGTCCGGGACCGCCGCCAGGTGCCGCTGGCCCAGGGGCGGAGGCCGGAGGGTCCCGATTGGTGTCCGGGACCGCCGCCAGGTGCTGCTGGCCCAGGGGCGGAGGGTCCCGATTGGTGTCCGGGACCGCCGCCAGGTGTTTTCCCAGGGGTGAAGCCTGCGGCCTCACCAGCCCGCGAGGAGCGACAGGATCTCAGGACATCATAATTTAAAACTGGATTTATCTGGACATCAAGACTTACATCCAACATGAAGATATTGGCCAGCGTGTCGTTCAAACCCTTTATATTCTTGCATCAACGAGCTAGGATAACTTTTGTCTAAGTTCATGTAAGATGGATACCGTACTTCAACTTTGTCCTCCAGGGGGTACTTTGGCCCACGCCTGGAAAATTATTTGTTTTGCTGTATCTTTTTTACACTTAACACGGGTATAAGCCGTGTTGCTGCCGTCCCCCGTCTTCCACTGGCCTGCCCAGCGGTGGGTGGCGGCCCTCGTTGGTGAAGTGGGCGTCGCCGGCCCGGGAGCGGCGACACCCCAGCGTCACCGTCACCCCAGCGTCCGGCCCAGGGGCGGGCGGCAGCTCTCGATGTTCCAGGTAGTGCCACTGCCGCCCCCGGAGCCGGGACGCCGCCCACTGTCGTTGTGGCAGCTCTTGTTGCTGGAAAGCATGCCGCCGCTGCCCCCGACCCAGTCTGGCGTCTCTTTTTCATTTATTTTCGATAGCACATTACACTGTCATTTGCGCACATTTTGCATACCCACCACACACACCATTTTCTACCTGCCCCGCGCCGTGTTACACATGCCCGTCCTCGCTGGGGCCATGCCCAAGGCCGCCGGTCGGCCGAATTTTTACATATATGGCCGGCCTCCGGTTAGCCGTGTTGGGTTAGGGACGGGCAGATTCATCATCAGGCTATGTATATCATTATCCCCGCACCTAAATATATTTTACCACTTTTCATGAACAGCTTTAATAGTGTCGTTTACTACGGCTGCATTTTTCTACCCTCAAGTGATGGATAACCACATTCGAGCCCCTTTCGTAGGATGGCTTTGTAGTTTGAGGTTTTTGGGCGACCCGCACGCGGTCTCGTGCAGTATCAGGCCTCTTGAGCCGATGACAAACGCGTCAACCGAGACCTCTGTGACCTCGGGCCGATTTCTGGCCGGGTCACTGTTCAACTGTCCGCGCAGGGCCTCTAATATCCGAGTATTTCCGGATCTTATCCCGGTATCGCGCCCTGAGGCAGTCGGCCCGGTTGTCATAGCAGATAGCGTCGTCCACAACAGTGGCCTTTGTGCCACTGACCACCACCAGGTCTGGGCGGTATTCTTCTCCGTGACACGGCACCCTGTGCTCGCTCAGGATGGTGGATCTCGGATCCATGTTTTGAGCTCGGTCACGGACCAGTCCACACACCCAGTTGTGGCGCCGAATTTGTGCCTCCCTTGTGGTAGGGCATTCGGTTAGGGAGAGATTTGCACCTCGGCATCAAGACTCTCTCAGCAGCTCTGCGCACATTCGGTTCGGTTAACTGTCATTCGCCAGCGGGGTAACCATGGTGGAAAATATAGGGCCGGACTCGGAGGTAAAAGTAAATCATGCAAAGCACGGTAAAGCAAGAATAATAGCAATAAGTGAAAGTATACCTATCAGTATTTGCTGAAAACTTATTACATGGATTATTATTACGTAAAAGATAATATGCTCAGAGGCGTTTCTGTCGCCTCTGAGCTGGCCTTCGGACACCTGCGTTATCGTTTGACAGATGTACCGCCCCAGTCAAACTCCCCACCTGTGTCCTCAGCGTGGGTCGGCCAGACGGACAAGCCGCCTTGCGCCTTGAATCGAGAATCGCGAACTCCGAAGAGCTCGAGTCCCCTTATCACTGTGTTAGTGATGAGACAATGAAAGTAGTGGTCTTTCACATTCGACTTGCGTCTCCCACTTAGACTACACCTGCCATGTCTCCTCACATAGTCAGATTAGAGTCAAGCTCAACAGGGTCTTCTTTCCCCGCTGACGATTCCAAGCCCGTTCCCTTGGCTGTGGTTTCGCTAGATAGTAGATAGGGACAGTGGGAATCTCGTTGATCCATTCATGCGCGTCACTAATTAGATGACGAGGCATTTGGCGATTTTTTTTCTCCTGCTCCTCTTTTTCCTTGCGGAAATGGCATCCGCTCATTCGCTCCCCTGTTCCGCCTGGGGGCTGTGAGGCGACCACCACTAGGCAGGGGCCGGTCTTCAGGGCGGTCTGCCCGTCACTCGCCGCGTCGCCCTGCACGGTCGCGGGCCCGCCTGTCGTCCCGTTGAGCGGAATGCCTTGAATATCTTATACGTGTTTTCGATCACCCGGACGGATATCTGTGCCATCTGGTGGTCGGTAGTGCCAAGTCTCTTAAGTATTTGCGTCGATTCTTGGGCCCAGCACCCTCTCCAGTTCAGAGTGGCCGAACCGAACCGGATCGGGTGTCGAGTCACAAGTCGCGTTTGTGCTTCTGTTCGGATGGTGTCATTCTCGTAGTAAGGCGCGCCTGAGATCTTACGCTGGTTTGCCTGACTGAGGTCGGCGTTATCAGCGACGACCTGGAGGTCTATCACTGCGGCCATGTTGTCCGTGGCCACCATCAGGTCTGGTTTTCTGAGCCCAGCCGGGATGGAGATTGAGGGCTCTTTGATGGTAGTTGCGCCTGAGTCTCGAAGGTAACCTTCCAACTGGGCGAGTGCCCGGTCGTGTCGGGCAGTTCTGTTCAGGTGGGTCCTTTCGCATGTTTGACTAATGTGGCCCATAGTCTCAGGCCTCCCACAGCCAGCGTCGCACGGATGGTAGCCTTGTCCACGTCGGGATCTTGCTGCTCTCTGCCCGGTGAGGACAAGGTTCCCACGGATTTTAATTGCGCCAACGTAGGCTGCTCCAGGCATCGGTGGGTTAGGCGCTGTCACCCACCGCTGGCTCTTGGGGTGATGGGGCGCCTCTTTGAGGCCGGCTCCGTCAACCTTCGAGAGTAGCTGGCTCCTATGCTCTTTCCGGATGGGTTCTCTGCTGTCTAACGTTGGTCCGTCCCTGGGGGTGACTGGCCGGGACTTCACCATCCTCCTGAAGGCGCCAGATGCCGTCGTCCGCCTGACGGGGCCGAGCTCGGACATGGTCAATTTTGCGAGTCTTGCCGTCCTTAGCACCGGTACTGTCAGTCTCAGCTCCGGGATGCCGAGTCCTCCGTCCGTCGGGTGTGCGTGTATGTATGCTGAGGGGGCGTCCTTGGGCAGATGTAGGAAGCTCCTGATTGCGACTCTGATCCGTTGGTCGAGGGATCGAGGGATTTCTCCCTGCACGAGGACGTGCAGTTCCTGTGGGATCACGTACTCGCGGATGATGGTGAGGCGTTGGTGCGGCTTCAGGGGGGCTCTCTTGATTTCGACCAGTTGTTCGGTCACTTTCAAGCCTGAGTCCTTGGTGATCCCTGTGCTGGAGTATTTGATGCCCGGGTACGTTACCGCGCCTTCGTTCCCCAGGTTGGGTAGGGGAGAGCCCCGTACCATGATGCGAACCTGGGAGTCGACGAACCGGAACTTCTTCCGGCCGTCGACCCTGGCGACTGACGTCCAGCACTTTTCTGGGTGGATGGACAGTCCAGCACACAGTATTGCATCGGCGATGGAGTTGACTCGATGCTCGAGCATGGTTGAGGTCCGAGCCATGACGACGAGGTCATCTGCGAAGGCCATGACTGGTGGAACATCGTCGGCACTTGCTGATGTATGTATGTATGTATGTATGTATTGACGATCAAGAGCAATCCACAATCGGCGTGGCGATTACACTCCGAGTCCGAGCTGGTTGAAGATAAGACAAGAAATAGGTACCTACACAAGAAAACGCACACACTTACGGATACGAAATACACAACGCGAACGCCGAACACGCACATACTTGGTGTAACCCGCACGAAGCCGCGTTCATAACTATGTACACACAGACTCGTTTGCCTTTCATAGTCCAAGAGTCATGAGGCTAGCTACTATGGCTACTCTGGCTAGGCTTAAGCCCCTTTTTTACAGCACGGGCAAATCTGGCTGGAGGCAACTGCGTTAGCTCGAGGGGGAGAGTATTTAGGAGCGCCGCGGCACGGTAGGCAAATCTACGTTTTCCGGTCTCTAGTCGGGGTCGCGGTAAGTGGAAAAGGTGGTCTTGGCGAGTAGACCTTGCTCGTGTTTGGGAATTTTTGGAAAATAGGGTCGCGATCTCCTCGGGCTCACCTCTCTGGATGGCCTTGTGCGCCGTGATAAGGGTATGGTATTCAGCCATTGTTTTAGGTGCCATCCAGCCGAGTTGGTCCCGGAGATGGGAGACATGATCAAATTTACGGCGACCGAAAATGACTCTAGCGGCAAAGTTAAGAATTTTCTGAATGCGATCGAAGTTCTTTTGGCTACCATTACCAAATACGGAGAGACAGTACTGGATCCGTGACATGACGAGAGCCACCACTAGTGTCTTGGTGACACCGTCGGGGAGGTAGTGGCGGACATGGGAGAGGCCAATTAGGAGACCCGTGCATCGGCGACTGAGCTCGGACACATGCGCGTACCAGGACAGGGTGCCGTCGAAGATAACGCCCAGGTTGCCCACCTGCTTGCATGGCACTAGTTTGGTGTCGCGAAAAGAAACGGTGAAAGCAGGTATGCTTCTCAAATTTTGCCGACTGCCGAAAACCATGAGCTGAGTTTTAGCAGTGTTTACTTTAAGAGCATTTGCACTGAACCAATGGTCGAGAGACGCCAGTGACGCTTCCAAGCGCGAGATGAGTCCCCTAAGGTCGTTTAAAGGGCCACTCACCAACAATTGAGTATCATCAGCGTACTGGAAGACTGCTGCATCCTCAGAATAAAGTGATAGATCATTGGAAAATACCGTGAAGAGTAAGGGACCGAGTGCCGAGCCTTGAAAGACGCCCATAGAGTTGGGGAGAGGTTGTGATAATACCCGGCGACCGGACTCGTCCTTCAATGACACACTCTGTGTGTGACCCTGGAGATAAGCGGCGAACCAGGATGTCTCTATGCCGTGCATTGCCAATTTAGCGAGTAATAACTCATGGTTGATGACATCAAAACATTTGCTTAAATCAATAAGGCATAGCATAGAGACATCCCCCCTATCGGTGGCGGCCAGGATTTGGTCACTGACGGACAGAAGTGCTGTCTCAGTTGAGTGCCGGGGTCGGAAACCGTGCTGGGTATTGGACAGAAGATGGTTTTGGGAGAGATAGCGATAGAGCTGTTTGTGAATGACTCGCTCGACCACCTTCATAATGACAGGTACTAAGGAGATAGGTCGGAAATTAGTGGGATCAGATGGGTTTCCAGACTTGAAGATGGGGTGAACTATAGAGTGTTTCCAATGAAAGGGGATATCGGACCTTGAGATGCAAGTGTTAATGATGTGAAGGATAACGTCACCGATAGATGGGAAAGCAGTTTTCAGCATGCGAATGCAGACGCCATCAGACGCACAGGCGGCAGAATTGCGCATATTGAAAACGGTGTGACCGAGTTCACCGAGAGAGATAGGTCTGGGCTTAAATCTACCGGTTACGACACGCGGCAAACGGCCAATTTGCTCAACAACTGGATTTTGGTCACGGATCTCTGTAGCGACGCGGGGACCCACGGAAACGAAAAAAGAATTTAAAACGTCAGCCGATACATCAGGTTGAACACTAGGTCCGTCTTTCTTACCAGCCACAACCGACCTAATACTTTTCCACACCTTGTTGGGACCCCGACCACTAATCTCTCTGTGAAGTTCGCCGCGTCGGTCTCGTCGCACTGCGGCCCGGACAGTTCGGTTTAAGTCTTTGTAAACCTCCGACTTTCTACCGAACTGCTGTAACGCGGTACGACGTTGATCCATGATTTTAAGTGTGGCGGGGGTAACTGGTGGTGCTGTAGGATTACGGATGGTAATATTCTTTATAGGTGCGTGATCGTCAAAAATCGGCAGAAATTCGGTCAGGAAAGCATCCCACTGGTCACTTACGTTCGTGGCACTAAACACGCCCTCCCAATCGGCAAACATCAGGTCAGAGTTCAGGGCATCGACATCTATACGGTTGATCGAGCGGGATTGAACAACTGTAGGATTTTTGCGTTGTTTCGGAACGTTAATAGACACACGAAGGAGTTTGTGTGGGCTGAAGTGGCAAAAGGATGCAGAGCAATCACGCACAAGCTCTCTATTTTTAACCATACAGACGTCTAGCAACGAGCCGGAAGTGTACGTTGGAACGGTTACAAGCTGCTCAAGAGAATAATTCGATAAAAAGTCACTGAGGTGTACACGCGCACGAAAACTCTCCTCCTTCAACATATCACAGTTTAAATCGCCACAGATCATAAATGGAATCTTGGGAAAATCAATTAATACACGCTGTAACTGCGTCTCGAGGTCCGAAAAGTCAGCTCGCAGAGCGGCATCGGTCTTTCGGGGCGGCCGGTACACAGAGCAAACAATTAACTGGCGATTTCGTTCGAGCTTGAACAACATCCACCGGGTTTCCAGGAGACTGCCGGGGTGCGGGGATGTGCTCGGTTTGATGGTCACAGTTTTCATATCCGTTTTTGACAGTACGGCGACCCCGCCGTAGCCGCTGCCGTCTGGTCGGTCGACTCGGCTGAGAGAGTAGCCGGGAATCACGAGAAGTCGATTTGGAGTAGAAGGGCGCAGCCAGGTCTCGGCCAGGAGATTGTTGGTGATGTCGCTTCGTCGACCACGGCGTTGAAGATCCATGGCGACCATGGTTCTCCCTGCCGGACTCCACCCTTGGTTTGGATATATGCGCCTCTGCGTATCTCAGTTGAGGCATCCTGGTATAGGTCCTTGATGATCGCCACTGCCGGCGGCGGTAGGCCAGCTCGCTCGGCGCCACGTAGGATGGAATCGTGGCTCACCGAGTCGAACGCCTTGGCTATATCTAGCCACGCTATTTGGCGTTGCTGGATGGAGGCTTTGATGGTGGCCTCCAGCAGCGTGACATTTTCCGCCGTTCCGTCCGCAGTGATGAAGGCTCTCTGGGCCGGATGTAGTGGGCAGAGCTCTGCTGAGCGGCGAGCCATCATCTTGGTGAGTATTCGCGAGATGGTGGATGCAACTGTAATTGGACGGAATTTTGCCGGTTCAGCCGCATCTGGTGTTTTCGGGATTAGTGTTGTCCTTGCGTGTTTGTAGGCGGCTGGGACTGTACCCGTGAGGAGCCACAGATTGTACGTTATGGCCAGGGTTCGCACGGGGCAGCTCGTAAGAGAGTCATAGTTACTCCCGCCGTTTACCCGCGCTTGGATGAATTTCTTCACTTTGACATTCAGAGCACTGGGCAGAAATCACATCGCGTCAACACGGACCTTGGCCATCACAATGCCATGATTTAATAAGTCAATCGGATTCTTCTGGTCCGTGCCAGTTCTGAGTTCCCTCTCATAGTTCGTTTTTTTTTTAGCAATTTGAATACAGCACGAGAATTGCTGGCTGAATTACTGAGAAAACTGGTTGGTGCACATTGACTACGTTTCCATGGGCAAAGTATCCGGATCAGTGAAGCCGCTACTGATCCGGATGACTGGGGCCGTTTCCATGGGTAAAGCCGGTACTGATCAGGATCAGTGAAATAAGAGCTCAGAGCCTCAGCCACTACTGATCGGCTTAGGAGAGACCAGGGTATATAGAACAACGGGTACACCAACGACGCGGAAAGCGCCCATTTTACCTGGATGAGTTACATGGTAGGTGATATATTTTTTGAATATGGAAAAAATAGAGTATTCTATTCTGACGAGTAAAACCAAATTCATAAAGCAGTTATTTTTTAAATATATGTACCAGAAATAACATACTGACCATAGTTTAAAACTAAGTCTAAAGTTAGTTGAAAAGCGTATAGTTGATACTAAGATGGAAGGAATCAATGGAAGGCGGAAATGGCGCAGCTGTTTCATTCTTAAAACGTGTTCGCAAGCAGGATTTACGTGATGCTAGCGACATCTATTAATGTAATCGGGGACGCTGATTGGCTGACCGAGTCCGTGAGCAGTATCACTAATGTACGCCAGTACAGGGTTGAGGCAATGTGCGCATGCGCAGGAACTTGTGCTCTCATGGAGGGGCTTTTGGTACCTCGGGCAGCGCCCAATGCTTTTTGGACCTGTTATGGCCTCCGCATCGAAAAACGCTAGATAAAAGGGTTGTAGAGGAGGCTTGAAGCTACCTTTCCCCACAATAACATTGACACTTTATCTTTTAGCTTACGTGTGAGGCTCGCTTGAAAAAGGTCGATTTAACATGGAAACCCTATGGGGTAGTAGTTTTTGAGCGCCCATTTGGCCTAATGCTACCAACTGTCACTGGCTACCCCTGGGAGAGACGAGTATGGCGCACTTTGGCAAATAATAAAAAGTCCAGTTAACCCGCGCCCCGTAGGGCTACCGGCGGACCCTACCACCCGTAGGGGGGGGGGGGCCGTATCGGCCCCCCCCCCTAAGATCTCAGAAAGTTACCGGCCGATTTTCAAAATTCAAACGGCGTTCGATAGCCCCACCCGGGAACTACCTTGTGACCAAATTTCATTGACCTAGGTCAAACCGATGACGTCACAGGTCAGGTCAAAGGTCAGATTTTCACCGTTCACAGGCAATTCAAGAAATGTGCTGTGAAAGCGAGTAAATTGGTAATTTATTGAAAACCATCGATGGTACATTGTTCGTCAAACACATACTTTGCTATCTGAGGTCACTGATACCAGGTCAGGTCACAGCGAGGTCAGGTCACCGGGGGTCACAATATGAATGTGTCGTGTGATACATGTTTTATGGTCCATTTTACATGACAAATGCGATTATGTGGGTTAGGCAGCCTTTGGGGCCAGCCTAGGTCACGTTTTTGTGAAGGTCAGGTCAAGGTCAGGTCAAATTAGGTCAAATTTCAAAGTTGATATTTTGCATAAAATGGGTATCGATTCGATGCAGCTTGTCACGGGGAGTCTAATGGTGGTCTTCGTTTTGCTCTACGAGTTCTAGAATTGCCAAAAATTGAGTTTGAAAATTTGACGTCATCATTTTTGAACAGTTTTTTCGCTATAACTTGGCCAAAAAACGAGGTATCGATCTGAAATTTGGTATGTAGATAGAAGACGGTAGGCACTATCACATATATTCCGGTTTTTTCGAAACGCAAAAAACTTTTTGGATTTTTTGGCGAATATATCCAAAAAATGCTTTTTTGATTTTTGGGGGTCAAAACTCAAAATTTCAAAAATTCGAGATAGCAGTTTTGTAGCCCTGTCAATTCTACACCTTTTATGTCTTGATCATTTTTCTGTATCTTCAAAGCTGTAGTCCTGACAGGTCTTCTCGCGAAGGTCTTTTTTCGGTGGAAAATGACAGAACATGACGTCACTCTGACGTCATTTGTGGCCAACCTATCATAGCCTCTGGAAAAATTTTTGGTCACAATGTGTAAAATTGATGCCCGGAGGGGTCCTGAAAGTTTGGTGGCGATATCTCCCGCCGTTTAGGAGATATCGACCGAAAAGGACAGGGGGGGCCGTTTCGGCCCCCCCTCTACGGGGCGCGGGTTAACATTGTTGCCTGGTCTTGTGCAGAAAATCGACAAGGATCTTCCGTCCTGAAAATAAGCTTTCCTTTATCATTCATACCCATTGCAAACTCGGCTATTGGGAAAATCTTGTCTAAAAAAACTGTCTTAAAAAAAAACTGGAAAAACTGTCTATAATAACTCATTTTTCAGTTCGATTCATGTTTACAAAATAATAAATTTAAATAATGATTTCCCATTTAACATCAACAAATAGATGTAGAATATTGGTACAATAAATCGTAGCAAGATAACTGACTGGTACCTAGATGTGTTGAGCAACCGAATGCCCGACACCGTGCAGGAGGAATGAATGCACAAACAAATATTTGCCAATTGTTTAAATCTTTATAATATAGCCTAAATTTTGAAACATATCATTCTAATAACAGTAAAATTTGAATAAAATAATTTTGATGTGATATATGCATCTAGGCCCATAAAGGCAATTAAAATGAAAATACGAAAAATAAAAAGTCCAACATTAATCCCTATCGTAACGGCTCCTCAGCTTCTTCCGAAGCTGGATTATAATCCGGATCAGCGGTAAGGGATTACGGGTGTTTCCATGGGCAGCCTAAGCCGTTACGAGTCACTGATCCGGATCAGTGATGCCCATGGTAACGGTCATTGATTTCACAGACGATCAAATTCATAAAAAATTATTTCTACCTGACATATATTTTCCCAGACTTGCAGCACGTATTTGCCTATGCTTACAAAACCACAGGGATAGACGACTTGCCAGGAATGATAAATGAACTTATCAGTAAATTCCAAGGCGTCTAAGATAATGGCATATTATCGGCGTTTAAAAGTTATTTGGCAATTATTATTCATCACTCCAATACAATGTGCGCCAACCAGTTTTCTCAGCAATTCAGCTAGCAATTATCGTGCTGTGTTCAAAGAGACGACTACAGTGAGGGTCGAACTTAACCCTCGCCGGCCGAGGGGGGGGGCGGGTGCCGCCCCCCCCCATAGGGTTTTTTCGCGATAGCTCCGAACACGCTGGCGATAGAGAGCTGAAACTTGGCATACCTGACCTTTGATCCAAGCCGCATCTTTTGACACCAACCGCAATTTTGGGTCAGGTCAGGTCACTGACCTATGACGTCATAAGTGAACCTCTGCACGGTCTTCAGATGTCGCAACTTCACAACGCCCTCACTGCCAGAGGAGATGTCACAGGGAAATGAAACTTGCAGGATCTAGTATCCATTATGAGTCCCACAACTTGTATATCTCGGATTTTTCGTAAAAGTCATATGAGGTCAGGTCATTTTCGTGACCTCACCATTATAAGTCAATGGGGAAAAATGAAAACTGCTATTCTGGCGCCGGGAACGATCTCCAACTATCTCAAGCACACAGAATCGTGATTTGATGCACTCCTTGCAAGGTTAGATGCGTCACTCATGCAATGTTGACCTTGCGTGACGTCATTTATGACGTCATCAAGGTCATATTAGTTTTTCGTCAATAACTCTTGATCAAATTGAGCTAGCGAGTCGGGAAAGCCACCAATGGACTCAGGAAGACCTGCCAAATCGAATGATATGCGACATGACCTCTTTCGACCAACTTCGTGACCTGGGGGTGCTGACCTGACCTTGACCTGAGGTCAACACCCCAAATTGACCTGACCCGGACAAAAAGTATATCATTCGACGCGCCTGAGCAAGACGAACACGATGCTGCCAAAATCGGCGCTCTGCGGTCGTTTTTTGCGAAGTTATTCACCAAAAACTGAACCGTACCTTGGGGCACTTGACCTGACCTCAGAGGTCACCGGTTGACCTAGGACCTTAAAATCGGGTACCAATCTCTGCGTCTCGTAACGGCGCACACGCTCGTTTTTTCCGCGACGCTCTAGCTCCACCAGGGGCGAAACGGCGAGGGGGGGTCGTACCCGCCCCCCCCCCCCCTCGGCCGGCGTGTATGTAGAAAACCAATAGGTCCGGCGAGGGTTAAAAAACGAGCTATAATTGCCGAACGACGCGGTGGTTCCCGTCGACTGTGCGCGCTACCGGCGCGAACCGGCGACGGCCAACTAGGCCGACAAGCCAAAGTGATCAGTGTTGCTTGCAATGCAGCATTTGAGCCACACCCGTTCCTCGTTCAAGAGGTTCCATTGGCCAGCTCTACTCTACTGAACCATTTGAAACCATTTCCGTCCATTTTCTGTGCATTGCCTGCCACACTGCGCATTGTGATTGCTTACTCTATTGGCTCCTTCTGGCCGTCAGGCATCCGCGATTTCGGTTGAGTTGGTATCTTATTCGCTATGTTCTTCTTTCTTTTTTCGGAGTCTATGCCGAATTTCTGGTGACAAACGAACTTCTTTGGCCTTTTTTAAATAGATTGTTGTGTTGCCTCTTGTCTTTTGTATGTATATATGTAAGTGTTTTTTCTCGCCGCCTGATATATGTGCTGACAGCTCTTGTTGATAAAGTGGTCGTCGCCGCCCCGGCGACGGCCAGCTGATCAGTCTCAGCGCGCTCCAACGTCCTTTTCTTGTCGGTCCTCCAGTGACCAAGCCAATGGTGGTTCAAACCGCCGTCACCCCCGCGGCGGTCAACATGCTTTTGCTGGAGCTTTTTTTTCTTTTGCCGTCTTTTTTTCTTTCATCTTTTAAACAAACAATATCTCGTCGTATTTTGTTATTTAAGCCAATGGTGTGAAGGTTACCCAGTTTACCCAGTGTCTTCCGCTACCATTGCCGATTTCACCGTTAATCCAAGATCATCGCACGCTACGGCTGCCCCCGACGCATCCCCTC